GGAGGGCGGGGGCCGGGGCGGTGCGGCGCTGCGTCAGCCTCAGCGCTGCCGACGACGGCTACGGGCACGCCAAGGGCAGAGGTGCCTTGTCCGACACCGAGAGCGAGACCTGGTACTCGGAGGAGGACGGGTACTCGGAGGATGATGAGTACTCCTCGACCTCCTGGGAAGAGAACGACAAGGATGAAAAGGCTTCCAGGAGGAGAAGCGTTGGCAGAGGTGTTGCTCTGCGTCCCAGCTTTTACCAGACCCGACCAAAGACATCGCCCGGCTTGCTGGAGCCTCCGCCAGAGAACAACAGCAACAAGCCAGCCAGCCCGGACCTGAGCAAGCAGAGGAGATCCATGGTGATATTTAACAACATGAAGAACGAGCTGGAAGCAGCCAGGAGGAAGCTGGCTGCTCTGGTGCATCCTTTGAACAGAGCTGCCACGGAGAGCAGAGGGGTCCCGGTGCCACAGCCGCTGCCCCAGCGTCCCCGCACCAGCCGCAGCATCAAGTATGGGCCAGCGCCGGATATATCCCAGCTGGGCACCTTGGTGCCAACCCCTCCAGCTGCACCGATCCCTCCAATCAAACAGCATAAGCCCACGGTGCCGGTGAGGTGTTTTCTTCTGGTAGCACTTTCCTTCTCACTGGGGCAGGAGGGACGTGGAGGGTCGAATCGGTCCGGTTTGCTGGGGTCTGGCCAGGAAAATGGAACCGAAATGGGGCTTGGGGAACTCTAAATCCATGAGAAATTGTTGACAAGTTTTCATAAGAAGTGAAGGAAGGGGGAGAGTTTTGCTGGAGTTTAAGGAGAAGCTTTCTGGGAGGATGTTTACGTGTTCTGTCCTAACCAAGACATCACTGTTTCTCCCCACCAGCAAGATACCTTATTTGATCTTGAATTGAAACACTTGAAAAAAGAAGTGAAATAAGGTTTTTTCCCCTCTTTCCTCTCCATTTTCCCCCTCTAACAGATACAAATGAGGTCCATGGGGAAATGCCCCTTACAGTCATCACAGCTGCTCCTCCCGCAGCCCCAGAAGAGAAACTGAGGCTGGAACAGAGACAAAACCGGGCTGTTTCTGCGTCCCCTCTGCCCTGGGTCTCCCTCATTACCTCTCCCTGTGCTCACTGCCCTCCTTCACCCTGTTTTGTAGCTGGAAAAAGCCACTTCTCCTAACTCTCCTTGCAATATTGGTGTTCTTCTCTGTGGCAAGGGCTGTCTGTCCTTTCTTAAAAGTCAAGGAAACGTTAGATTTCATACTCCTACTAGAAATACAAATGGTTTAACAATAGAAACAGTGGTGTGAAGCAATGGAGTAAATACTGCTTTCCATCACCTTAAATCTGAATTGCACCGTAGAAGCACAGAATGGTTCAGGTTGGAAGGGACCTTCAAGATCATCTAGTTCCAACCCCCCTTGCCATGGACACGGACACCTTCCAGGTGTCCTGATCAGGTTGCTCAAAGCTTCATCCAACCTGGCCTGGAAGATTTATGTGTTTTAAGAAATCACATCTCATCCAACTACTTGAGAGGTGAATTACTTAAAACCTGCAATGAGGACAATGGGACACAGGAAGGCAGGTTATTTATATGTGGTTGTGTTAGACGTAGAGTAGTCAGGGAAAGATTAAATGCCCGTGAGTATTTATACACTAAACAGCTGTTGCAACTAATTACTAATCCTTTGCCCACCCTGCTGGGCTGCTGTTACAAATGGGTCCTGCCAAATACTGAAGCCTCATACTCAGACGAGTGTTTCCATGTGCAAGGTCATTTCTGGAGATGGCTTTGGAACAGGAACCTGAATACATCTGATAAGCATCACGAGCATCAAGGGAACATCCTCCTGCCTGGGCTGCTGCATCACCTGTCCGCTGCCTCTTGCTTGGCTGGTCAAGGACAAGCATGGCATTTATTGCTGGAGAGATGACCGGGATTCTCAGGGAAAGGAAGCTGCTTTTGCTCACTTTGCCCCGTGAACCCTCCTGAGCGCTGTTTTCTCTGATCTGTGTCCATAGCTGAGCCCGGATTTAATTAAGTCTGGTCTCCTTAGATGCCCAGGTGGGTTTGTTCCATGTATGGAAATTTTTCTCTTCTGGAGAGAGCAAGATAACTGCCAATGTTTAAAAGCATTGTCTGTTGTTTGACATTGTTTCATGAGCTGGAGTGAGAAGAACATCATCTGTTTTTTTTCTTGCAGTCCCTCAGCCCCTACACCTGCCTCCCCCCTGCCTCCACGCCTGCGCGACCTCTCAGTTCCCACAGATCCCAGCCGGATTCGGCGGCTGACCTGCTCTCGGCGCTGAGCCAAGAGGAGCGAGACCTCATCGAGCCCGTTATAGCCTTGGGCTACCCCACCCGCAAAGCCATCCTCACCCTCCAGAAGACCGGAAGGCAAAGCTTAAATCAGGTTGGTGGAGCTGGCGCGGTGCTGCGGAAAGCTTTTGGTAATCAAGAAAAACTTGATTTTTGTGGAGAAACGGATGGCTGTCTTGCTTGGGGTGGACTTCTGATGGCCTTGGGTTTCCCACTTTGGTATCAGACCCCAGCTGACTGGGTTTTCCATGAGATCCCGTCTGAGCTTTTGCTGTAATAGAACAGCCATGAGTCGCCCTCAGCTTTTCAGCGAGTAGTAACGGCTGAGTAACGTTATCTGTTCAATCTGGTGTATGGAGCGGGGAGTCCTTTTGAAGTACAAATGTTGCCCCCCTATATGGAAACTTTTTGCACGTCATTTTTTCCCGGCTGTTAGATTCGTATGATTATTGCCATGGCTCATCCTGTCAGAGCAGGACTGTACAAATACCTCGGGAATTAGTCTGGGCTCTCTCTAAAACACAAGCTCCCCGTGTTGGAGCAACCAGGGATTCCATGCAAGCATTGTGGCTGGCTCCCAGAGCTCTTTTCCTGTGGAAACCTCTATAATAATCTGGACTTTATTAAAAATAATTAACGTGAAACATCTTCCTACCCCTGGTATCTGAGTATATCGCAGCCCGCTCGGCTACACCCCGATTCCCAAGGTCTCTGCTTGTCCAAATGAACCCTCTGTGGTCCAGGCAGGCTTGGAGCATCTGTGCCCTGAGAGGTGCTGCTGGCTCTGACCCTCTGGCTTGGCAAGCTTGGGGCTGGACCTGCCCATCACAGCAGAGGATTTAATAGGGCTAAATTATCCAAGTAGCTCTTGCAGAGAGAGAAGGGGCCTGATCGCAGCATAGCAAGAGGGATAGAACCATAGAATCGTAGAAACCCATAGGTTTGGGTTGGAACGGACCTTAAAGATCACCTAGTTCCAACCCCCCTGCCATGGGCAGGGACACCTTCCATGACACCAGGTGGTTTATCCAACCTGGCCTTGAACCCTTCCAGGGATGGGGCAGCCATAACTTCTCTGGGCAACCTGTTCCAGTGCCTCACCACCCTCATTGTAAAAAATTTCTTCCTTAGATCTAATCAAAATCTCCACCTTTTTCAGTTTAAAGCCATTGCCCTGTGTCCCGTCACTACACGACTTTGTCAAAAGCCCCTCTCCAGCTTTTTTGTAGCCCCTTTAGATACTGAAGGGCTGCCAGAAGGTCTCCCAGAGCCTTCTCTTCTCCAGGCTGAACAACCCCAACTCTCAGCCTGTCTTCACAGCAGAGGTGCTCTACCCCTCCGATCGTCTTTGTGGCCTGGGCTGTCATGCCAGGGAGCAGGAGCAGACCCCGGGCAGAGGTGTGAGCAGGCACGGCACCGAGCAGCAGCTGTTGGGTGCCAGTCTCCTTCCCGTGCTCCCCCGGAGCTGCCTGCGCTGCGTGGGCCAACTCTTGCCCATCTGGTCGGCACACGAAGCCGCTCTGTGGCTGAGTCATCCTGGAGCTTCTGGCTCCCTTCTGAGTCCCCCCCGGCTGGACCAGCCTCCCCAGACCCTCGCTGGTGTTTCAGGCGAACGTCGCTGCAAGCTGGGGTGGGAAGGGAAGCTTTATTTCTTCAATTCCTGAAGGTTTCATCTAGGCAGAGGGAGATGGGCAGAGCCCAGCCCACGTTCTTTGCACAGAGCCACACAAGGGTGTCTTGTAGCAACCGCTGGCTTCAATATGAAGAAGAGATGCATCTTATTAAGGGTGGAAATGAGTACAGTCTGCTCCCTTCGTGTAAACACCAGGACTCCCATTCCCTTGAAGAAGAGATTAATGCACAAAAATACAAGGTCTGCCTTATATCCTGTGCCTTCTTCGCCAGCAGTTCCCATCTTTCCCATTTATACCCAATACAGCCAAGATAAAAGGTGAAGTCCAGCCCTTCGTGCGTCTTTTACAAGTACAGAACTACCAAATTAGGCTAAAACTTCCTGGAAAATACATTTTATCTCAAGTTAAAAACAAGAGCTGTGGGTGCTCCTCATTGCTTGCTGGTGTCACACGAGGTTTCAGTGTGTGACGATGACAGCTTCAACCGGGAAGATTGATTGTCGTACCAGATGGTAGCCAAAAATGGCTGTTTCTTTGCAGTGTCAAGTCAAACTGGCAGGGCCCATACTGGTGGAGAAGGCAAGTCTGCTGCCTTACAGAGGTGATGCCTTCTCAATGTTGGTGGAGGAGCCTCTCTAAAAGGCTCAAGGAGGGTTAGTTGCCCCAACATGCCAGAGGTTCATCATATAGGATGTCATGGCCAAGGGCTAAACCAAAAATGCATCATTGCGTCTTGATCAATCAAAAATGTCTCGTTGATCCATGGAGCTCTTGATGTACATGGGAGGTGAGACGTGACAGATGGCTGTAGCTGGTCAGCATCCATCTCCCCAGATAGCTGTAAGCACGGGGTTCAGAGCAGGGCGTTCACCGTGGGACACAGCCCACTGCGCCAGCCACCTCCTGGCCATACATGGATGGGGAACCTCTTCCTATGGACTGTTGGACTCTTGTGAAGTCAGTAACATAGCAAAATATATGCTCGGTTGTGCTTCCATAATGTGCTCCTGCCCCTTTCTTCCTCCAAAAGAACTTGCTGTCTTGCCCCAAGTGACAATGTAGATCTTCAGCGCTTCCTACAAGCCTTGCATCAGCCATGCCCAGAGCCTCTCCAATGCTTGTAGAAGTTGCGTTCTCGGTGGCAGCGTTTGCAACAGTGAATTGAGCAGAGCTGTCTGCTGCGGTGCTGGCTGGGGTCTCTCTGTCCCCCCGGAGAGCCTCTGTCCCTGGAGGCTCAGGGCCCGAGGGCTAGTGCCCACTGGGTTTGCACGTCCCTGGCTTGACCCTGCTGCGAGACTGGGGAGATGTTTACCCTCTGCCTCCACAATGAAATCAGCTTTTGGGTCTTTGGTGGTGGTTGCTCGTGTTTTTTTCTGTGCTGGCAGCATATGGTCCAGATGGGTCGGTGAAACGGTTGGGGTGAGGCTTTGCTCTTCTTAAGCAGCCACTTTTTGGAGGACCTGAAGCAGGGACCTCATGGGGTTGGGCCTTTCCGATGGGAGTCAGCCAAAGTGGTATGAGGACATGGAAGATAAAAACTCAGCGGAGGGGGGATCTCACTGCACGTGCTCGTCTTTGATGTGAAAAGCTAAATTACTGCATAAAACATCAAGTGGCAGCAAATGAGGGAAGAGAGAAATCAGCAGATTACTGATCTACCAGAGCCTGGAGGTCTCTTCCCACCTGAGAAGTTCAGGATGAGGTTATTGGCTTGGCCATGTAGTGGATAAAGCCAAGCTCTCCAGGGGTGCCTGCACTGCAGGAGCTTCATGTCCAAGTGTGACAAGGAGCCTTCTTGAGAGCTACAAAGAGGAGAAGGAGCTTCAAGAGGGAAGTGGCACCTCCTCCTCCTCCCCAGTGAGTGGTGGGGACTGTTCCAGACCCAAGGGGTTAGCAGGTCATAATATTTAAAAACCTGGTTTTGTTTAGTCTTGAGGATATATATATGTATATATATATATATTTTTTTTTTTTTGTAATGGTAAGAATCGTTGAGTTGCCAACAGCACCGATTTCATGCTGGGCTTAAACAGGCTGCCAGGACTGGCTGTGTTCTGCCGTGGGCACCTGTCCCTGCTGCGACAGAGCAAGAAAATACAGCAATAATCTGGGGATTTTAGTTAATCAGGTAACGGGGTGAATAAAACCAGGTTACGAACGCCAATGGCCAGTGACTCTCATTTTTGAGTTAAGAAGCCGCTCCTTTAGGCTGACATTTCTTAAAATCTTTGCTTTGCTCTTTAGCCAAACGATCAGCTCAGCGTTTGAGGGACTTTTTTGACTTTTTCATGTGTTTTGTGGTCTTTTACTGAATCCTTCTCCTTGGCTATGGCGGCGCTGAGGAGGGCAGAGGTCTGTGTGCTGGTGGATCTGGGGAGAAATGAATCAGCTCCTCCTTGGATGAAGGCAGCACGGCTTTGAGGAGACCCGTGGGATGTTTTTATTCCCCCTGCTATTGTATAGCTCATTTATTATTGTCTGTTGTCCCATATGTTTTTGGACAGTGAATGATTCTCGTGGTATTTAAAAGATACCGCTGGGAATAGCGCTGTCAGCACTCCAAGAACAACGAGGAAAGCCAAAAATAACTGTTTACTTTCAGTAATGACAGCACACGGGTCTCCCCCGGGGTGGGTTTTGTGCTCAGACCCTGGAGCGAACCCATGGGTGCCTGAACCCCGGCATGTCAAAGGGATGCCGGGTGTAGACATCTCACTGGGACAGGCTCTGCTTCACCCTGCAGCCTGGAGGCCATCTCTTTGTGTCTCAGATGGTTCAGATGTTTGGTTTGCTCCTCGTCCTCCCTCCACCTTGTTCCCATCCCCACTCTGGGAGAGCCGGGGGGGGACCGAAATGTGATCTTCTCGCAGTGAGAGTCCTGCTGATGGACGGACCACCCTGGCCAAGCATCAAATGGGAGCCAGCAGGACAGTGGTGGCCCAGGTCCTCCCCATGAGCATGTCCCTGGAAGGCGGCAAGGTGGGCTCCCAAATGCACTCAATCCCCATTTCTGCGAGGTTGGATTAACCCCGGTTGTCTTCTTCTGCAGTTCCTGAGCTACCTGGGTGCCTGTGACCGGCTGCTGAAGCAGGGCTACGAGGAAGGGCAGGTGGAGGAGGCCATGGAAATGTTCCAGTACTCGGAGAAAAAGGTCAGAGCGGGGCGGCACAGCCCGACCTTTTGTGCTATGTCCTCCGGGCTCGCTTTTCCAGTGGGCTGCACGCTCCCCTCCACTTCCGCTGCCCCTCGTGCCCCCTCCCAACAGATCAGACCCATTGCCCTGCAAGCAGCGACCCGCACTAGTGGCAGACCCCCAGGGCAGCATCACCATGAGGACCCCCTGGGGAAGAACACCAGCTCCATCACTCTTCTCCATCCATCCCCTCACCCCGCTGTGCAAACACGGCGCTCACTCAGCCCCTGCGTGGGGAATCCCCCACCCCGAGCCCACCAGCACCCGTGTTCGCTCCTTCCCTCTCTGCTCCGCCTTTGCATTCACCCCACAAAGAGAAGAACCATGGTGGCGCTCCAGGTGTTGGTCTCCATCACCAATCTTCTCCTGAGGGTAGTGAAGAGCCGGGGTGGGAGAAAAGCTGCTTGAAATTTGGGCTGGTTGACTTGAAACTTGGTGTTTGACGTGATGCTGACGGCACGTAGGATTGCCGGCTCGCTGCTCGTTAGGGCTGCGGCAGCGGGAGGGTGGCCGGGTCTCGGTGTGAGACAGGGGGTTATTTATTGAGGACGTGGCTCCGGGAGATGTCGTGGTGCTGGGGCCCAGCCTGAGCAAGGGGGAAAGCAGGACAAATTAATTCCGGCTTGTACGCGCTGCCTTGCCCTGGTCTCTTTATAACATGGGAAGACGCTTGCGTGGAATTAATATTAAGCTTTATAGGGAATAAGCGAAGCTGGAGGCTGACTTTATGAAACATTTCTTGTTTAAAAGGTGGATATAAAGGCACACTTTTAAATGCTAGCAGGGTATGTGTGCCCTCGCTGTGCTGCTGGCAGTGGCACCGAGTGCCCTTCAGCGGTAATACAACCCGGCCGGGTTGTCTGGCTGCAGCCGTGTCACCCAACACTGTTTCTGCCTCAACGCTACGATAAATCCATCCTTCAAACTCCATGATAACATCGCTCCTTTCTCTTCTTCCTCCAGGCAGCTGAATTCTTGCGCTTGTTAGCTCAGTTTAACGATATGGGTTTCCAGCAAAATGAAATCAAAGAAGTTCTTTTGCTCTGTGGGAATCAGAGGGAGAAGGCGCTGGAAGAGCTCGTGATGAAAACTCAGTGACCAGCGTCCTGGACTCTGGTCACAGCTTTCCTTCTCCAGACCGGACCACCGAAGGACTCGGGTGGGTCAGCACGTGCTCACCCTTCTGCTGCTCCATCCCACCCCGAGCAGCACCGGCTCCCTGGGCACAAACCTTTGAAGCACCAACTTGGTGTCTCGTCTCGTTTTATGGACATCCATCATAATCGGGTTTGTCACTGTACGAAGGCAAAGGCTTTATAGCAGGAGTGTTTATCTCTTCACTCACACATCTCCACCCTCGACCATCTCAGCTGTTTAGATGAGACGCGATAAGAGCCAAACCTCCTTCGGCTTAGAGTTTGCAAAACCCAAACCACAGTTTTCTCCCTCCACCTGGGGTGACTGGTGCTGTGTTTTCCACGACAATCAAATGTGGATTCTTAAAAGATTAAGAAAAGATTGTTTTCATAAAAGCTGAAGGCTCCTGCAGAAACGTTTGTAGGACCTTGCTTGGAAGGAGTCTCAGCTGATGTAGTGAGGGTTGAATATTGTAACTGAAATCCAGTCCGATCACATTAGCTTCTCCTTTTAAACTAGAAACTTGAGAAAAAGACACAATTCAATGAGAGTAAGGAAGGAAATCAGGCCACCCTTGCTCTAGAAACACATGAAGTTTATCCAGTGTGATGAAAAATGGCTTATGCAAGGGTGTGTGCTTGGGGAATTTCATGGAGTCAGTACAAAGAGATGGGGAATGGCTTGGCTGCCCTCATGCTCTGCCCAAATCAGGAAAGTCCAGGGGGTGCTTCCCTAAACTGTGGAGACAGTGGCTCCAAATGAAGTTAAGCATGAATGTCAGGATCAGAAAAATCTGGATGCCTGGGAGAATCTTTGTATCTAACTGAAGGACCGAGAACGGGAGATTCAGATCACCTTACGGGATGTGACTTTCGGCTCGACAGTGGAACAGTGGACAGAATTTTAATGTAGAAGTGTATTATATTCCTGTGAATTAGATACAGATGTAATTTATTTGAGTAAAGACGGTTGGAGGGGTTCTTCTGAAATGTATTTGTGTCTTTTCCTGTGAAAATGCCAGCTGGCGCAGCCTAGCAGAGAAAAATCCTAAATTAGTTGCATTAGTACCACTTTTCCATTGTGTCCTTCCAAACGATCTCCCAGCCCAACGTACTTCAATCAAGTTAAAAACACCATGTCCCTTCTCTGTGTGTCTCCAGGTAGGTACCAAACACCAGCAGGAGGGTACAGCCCTCCATGGCTGCCTTCGGCCTCATCCAGATACAACAAGGAAACTTGGCAGCCAGGTTTTGGGGGACTTGACCTTTCCATACCCAAGTACGCTTTATACCTGCTCTTCTTTAATGGCATTGAAAAGAAAAATGTGGCACCTTGTATGGCCAAGGGAGATGTCCATACCCAAGGATGCTTTATACCTGCTCTTCTTTAATGTCATTGAAAAGGAAAATGTGGCACCTTGTATGGCCAAGGGAGATATTCTGCAAGGTAAAGGACAGGAAAACTGTGGGTGGTGGGTCATGGAGTGATGGGGACAGTTAGGTCTTGCTGTGTATTTCGTGGAGGTTGACTTTAAGTTGACTTTCTTGCATCAAGTGACTTGACTTTGACTTGACTTTCTTGTGTCAAGTTTTACAAGAGCGTGTAGTGACAGGACAAGGGGCAATGGCTTTAAACTGAAAGAGGGGAGATTTCGATTAGATCTAAGGAAGAAATTTTTTACACTGAGGGTGGTGAGGCACTGGAACAGGTTGCCCAGAGAAGTTGTGGATGTCCCATCCCTGGAAGTGTTCAAGACCAGGTTGGATGGGGCGTTAAGCAAGCTGGTGTAGTGGAGCATGTCCCTGCCCATGGCAGGGGGGTTGGAACTAGATGATCTTCAAGGTCCCTTCCAACCCAAACCGTCTGATTCTATGATTCTATGAAGTGGAAACTGTGAGGAAGAAGCCATGGTCTCAGTTTCCTTCTCCAAATCCCAACGGTTTGCCCAGTGAGATCTTGGTGCGCTTGGGGAGCTCACAGGCTCTTCTTGGAGCTCCCAGCCCTGTTTTCCCGCCAACTTTTCCTTGGTTACACAAGCTTTTATTTTTGATACGGCCCTTATAAGGCAAATCCATTCTACAGACAGCTTTTTGTTACGTTCGTCCTTGCCAAGATGATGTCACCTTAAAAAAGAAACTTGCAAAAGGTTAAACTGTGATTAGATAGATCGCTTCTCCTCCAACTGTAATCTTTGGCAGAGTAAACACCATGAAGATCGAACGGGGAAGATAAGGGTGCTGTGCTGGTGCCAGTACTGCGTAACGTTGAGGGCTCCATTCTGGTGGAGCAAAGCACCTCTGCAGCATCGTGCCCCCTCACTGTTCAAAGGTTGAGCAGCTTCGTGCTTTCATTAAAGATTTGCTTGGTCCTGGCTCATCATTTTTTCCTCACCTTGCTTGCAGAGGTAAGAACTGTCTCTTTTTTTCTCCCCGTGCACCTAAAATTATCTCATGTTACTTTCTGTGTCGTGGTCTGGATTGATGGATGCAAGCAATCGCTCCTCTCCTGGGAGCATCCGTGCCACGCTCAACAGTCCTTGCCAAAAAAAAATCTTTCCCCCAGGTGCTACACCTAAAAATTTTGAAAACTTTCACATTTCGTCAGCAAGTATCTGTGTAAACCCCTGAACAGTCAAAAACCAGCATGTGAAGCGGGGGGGTAGAGGTTGTACGGCTCGGTGGTTTCGGAGCTGGAGGGAAGGGGAGAGCCTGCCAAGTTCAAACCAAGCCACGGGAGCCCGTCGTAAATATTTTAGTAACAGAATTATTTTAACTTCATTTTAATGGGGGGTTTAAGCTGTTTGTTCAACTTAAAATGGTTTTAAAGCAGCGTGCTTCCGTGTGCTGCTTTCAGTTAGGAGAAGACAGCGTGAAATGTTGGCTTCTAGGAAGGGAACGAGGATTTGACTTGATGGGCTTTCTGCTGACGGTCCACCCCAGCACAGTGACACCGCTCCACTAATGCTGCAGCACGGTGTAGAGCTGGGTGAGGTCCACCAGCATCTCCAGCCTCCCCCATGCCACCATCAGACCTTCACCTCCACCGGCTGTGGTCCCCATCCCGGGGGGTGACAGTGGGCTGGTGGCCTGGCCTGGTAGCAGAGGGCAAATGGGGACAAGGCTCATCGAGCAATCTTCTATCTGGACATGGATGCGAGCTGGGGTTTTCCTGTTTGTTTTGGTTTGTGATTGTGTTGGGTGGGTTTTTTCTCAAATGCGGGAACTGTTTTGAAAACGCTGAGAACTTGGCAAGGGTCAGCGGCGGAGGCATTTGAGGCATCCCAGCTGGTATTCCCTTCCGCTCCGTCTCGGCCGGGACGGCTCAGCCAGCCTGAAGCCAGTCCCACAGATGGGAAACTAAGCCAGGGTGTGCGTTTGCTGCTGCTCTGGTCCCCACAGGTCTCCCAGCAGTAGCAAAGAGGAGCTCCACGTTCTCCAACCATCCCCAGATCCGGTGTTGAGGGCCAGCAACTTTTGATAAGGGAGGATGGTATCTCATGAGAACAGCTCCTCTGATTGTGGAGCTTTGCTAACAGAGAGGAGCCGGGCATGGCCACGCAATGGTGACCCTCTCTCCCTTCCCTTTTTGCACCTTTTTGTATTTCCAAGGTTTGCCATGTCCTAAAAAGACCCTGTCTTGGCTCAAATGAGCCTCCGATGAGCACCAGCGCTTGCCTCCCCATTGGGTCTGGCAGATAAGCCTGGAGGAGCTGACAGACCGTTAATGTACTCGGGGTGGGGGGTGACGGGTGGTTCTCAGGTCCCAGAAACCTCTCAGTGCACTAAGCACCCGATGCCCAGGAGATACTTTCCTTCATTCCCCCGATCTCCCCTCCTCCTCCCAGGACCCCACTGCGGCCGGGAGCAGCCGTGGAGATGTCCCTGGGGAGCACGGGGCCGCGTGGGAACCACGCTCCCACGTACGGCTCTGACGGAGCCACAGCTGAGAAAGCACTCGGCGGGCAGGAGCGAGCTGTGACGTGGGACCTTGTCAGGAGGTACGTTCCTTCAGAAGAGAGAGGGGAACAAAACCAACCCAAACCCCAAGAGTAATTAAAACCACAAGGGATTTTGTAGCTTTCCTTTTAATTCCAGGATAAAATGAGTAATTTCCCATCTGAGCAGAGAGGAGGTGGGATGCTGTGCACCTTCAGAGCGTGGTCAAAATAAATATAACCTGCGTTTGCATCAATTTTGGTACCCGTCCTCTGCAGAAGCCATGAAGCCCTGCACGCAGTTGGCTCGTGAGTCCACATGTGGTAGGACTTTGCAGGCAGCCCGTGAAG